ACTGTACATATATATATATATATATATATATATATATATATATCATAAGCATGGTGCCAACGTTACAACAATAATAATAATGCTGTTCGCTCGTTTATTCCATTCGCACGAAGTGACAAGTGAACGGCAGTGAAGAGTCAAAATGCATTGGAATACAAGTTCCATTCGATACACTGAAGGGAAATCNGGAAATCATCGTCGTCCTTCACTCCAAATATTTGGAAAAGCAGGTCAAGAAAATTCATTCACGCGCACTGTGATCACGAAGAATGCCTCTGGCTGCTTGAACTGTAACATTAATTCTGGACAGCGATTTTCGCCAATCCAGCCCACCCCCCTATCCACAGCTTTAACGTTTTATTCTGTCCCTCGACTATTATCTACATAGACAGCGACTGTAGCATCGCATGTGTTTTCCTCCATTCTGATCTTGGATTCGTTCCCGCTTAGCATTCTAAGATGCATGTTATTTTGAACTCCCATAAAACTTAACTTTTACTACAAACTACTACGTGACAAGTATTAGGACTGATCCTGAGTCGAAAGGACATACTGTTCAATCTTGAGGATCGGCAACTCGAACTCTCGGGTTCGAAGTGGTGACCAGTGGATTTCGGATAGGATAAGTAAGGTGTTGGTCTGGGCGGTTAGAAGTTCTTGATCATCAAAGTTGTGTGGCGATGGCAAAACTCGAACTTGGGATCGGTAAATGAGCAAATCAAACAGCTGGACGATCGCATTCACCTCAAACATTAGTCTATCTTTAATTACATTTGAATACTGTGAATCTGGATTATAAACTCGTGCTTCCCGAAGTCGTTCTTTATCTTTATCTCTCCTCACTCTAACAGCTGGGCTTATTTGCTACGTTATACCCAAGATTGGCTGCCAGTCCCCCGTCAAAAGATTTTTCAATATCAATTCATTTTTCATAGTGCGCAATCAGAATGACAATTTACAATGCAAACTTCATTTGTAGCTCGGGGAGTGGATTTGAGACGAACAAGTCTTGAAGAATTATTGCGATGATTCTGTATCAGGTGTATCAGGTGCGTCTAATCTCAGCCAAATCGACAACTTGAAGAACAATGTCGGCAAGGTTGGAAACAGATTCGGAAACTCCCTAAGTTAAACAACAATTGCTCAGAGGATATGAAGCTAAGAAATCACGAAAGTCGCCCCAGTTGTTTGCGCTGTGGCGCCAAAATGTGTCTCGCGGTGGGTGAAAGATCGGAAACAACAATTGATAGAACAAGAAACAATATAACGATCCGATGAGCCCATTGGCGGCAGAGGACAGATATCTGAGAAGGGGCTGAAGCGAGAATGAGATTGACGGGCGTCAGCTCGATCAGGGAAGAGGTGTATGGTGGTCAACCAGTTGGTTCAGGCTGTTGACCAAAGCGAAATGTTCGGCTGTGCACCTCAAGACGGTTGCATTATCATTATCAACAGTTTCAGTTTGTACAACCACTAATCATACACTTTGGTGCGCCGGTTTTGGTTGCTGTCTTTTGGCTGCCAATTTGGATGAACAGTAGGAAATTGAAAGTAGAGTCGAAGAGAAAATGTAACATTTCAGAATTTCATCATCGTATATCATCATCGTTATATTTGGAGGACATGATGGGTGGTTTGACGAGGGAGAGATTTAGGTGTCAGTTAGAAATAGCGAGAGAATAAAAATGGAGAAACTAGTGAACAGAATCCATGCTACGGTTCAGTACATTGGTGAGGGTGATGAGTGTAAAACTGATTTGCGAGTGGGTACAGTGACAGCCTGAGTAATATTGTATTGTCATATTCACGTTGCGAGAACGAAACCGGCAACTACGTTTTTGAGACCTGGAATGGGGTGGTAGTGAGGCGGAGGAAATCAGAGCTATCTATCAGTTGGCGCGGTTCCGATTGCACACTTCGACTTTACTCATTCGATCGCCACCGATTAGCTACATTTATTTTTCCGTTTCAAAACAGTCCTCAAAGTCCATACCTCGTTAGTAGCCGTCGGTAGCTGAATATATTAGGCGCTTCATAGGATCTTGCCTAGCAAACTACCAACAACAGTTCTGCTTTGTAAAAAAAATGCTAATCACCACGAGTACATATATTCGTAAACTCGAGGCTGCATTCAACAAAAGATACAGCGCTAATTCAAGAGGAATTCTAAAGCTGTGATAGAAATGATTCTTTTCACGGATACGGAGGAGAAAATGAGAGCGAACATGGATTATCTTCATCAATCTACCACAGAGTCACATTGATGAGAAAGTGTATAACATTCGAAAAATAATACGGATACCTCTGAAAGATCCAATGCGTTCTTATGCAGTTAAATTTCAAACACTATGGAAGCCATGGAAACAGACCACCATGAGTAACCACGAAAATCGACGTTACCTTCGTTTGAGTTCAGAGATGTATGCCAAGCGGGTGGCATTGAGTCCATTGAACTCGAGTCCGTATAACGCATTGTAGTGGGGGTCACTGACTGTCCACCAACGTTCGGACCATTAGCCGGGTTAGTAGACGGAACAGGTGTTGGAAAACTAGAAGCGTGAGGCAGTGCGGTAGTGGATGTGGCGCTTATATGACTCGATGGGCTCATTAGTGGTGGATGTGATGTATCTCCGGGTGCTGCGACTGTCGTTCCATCCGTCGATATATGCGTTGTAGACGGAGCAGTTGGCAGCACCGACGTAGGTGGCACTTTCGAGATTCCTTGACTGAACGACGGTGGTGAAGTAATTTGATGCTCCGGACTTTGCTGAAATGAATAATGTTTAACGAGATGCTTTGCAAATGAGAGTTTAGATGAAACCCAATAGAGCAAAACAATAAACGATAACACGATTATGCAACCATTACGTACCCAAACGTTGATCGCATGAATCATCTATGTCAACCGAGAATCAAATCCAGAATCCCGTCCGAATTGTACGTGAAAGCGCTACCCCCCCCCCCCAAAGGTCAGTGTTAAGTTGGAATCGTGCGCAATGACGCTCTGGGGTCGGACGGGAACCAACAGGTGTTTGATCATTTCTGGAAGTGTGCCGACCAGTTGCAGCCTCCATCCACAAAAGGAGGAATTTGGTGATAGGCTTATCGAACGCACTCAAACGAGCCGCGGCTCTGATGTAATTGTGATGGCAGGTGATTTTAACGAACAAGTTGCAAAACCAAGGGCATTGGAAGCCTGTATAAGGTCCTGTTTTGCTCTGCTCGACCAGCGTACAGACAAGTGATCGAATACTTCAGTTGTGCGTAAATTATTGGTTGGCCTTGTCCTATTGCGGCTGGATCTTTGACCGTCACGATGAGACCGCACCTTCACGTGGTCCAATGGTTTGTGCACCTCTGTGGCCCACAGGATGACTTTGTTAGGCAGAAGATTTAATCATGCCTGGAAGATAAAAGGTTGGAGGTCAGACAAAGTCCGGCCTACTGGTTCTCCAGGTTAGAGGATCCATTCGAATTGGTCTCAGTCGGTAACAAAATGCTGGAGTAGTTGATCCAAGTAAGTGGGCCTCCACCCCATCCTATTCGTTGTCTTGCCGTTAGGTTCTTGCCAGATTATAGGGCTTTAGTTGAGAACCCTAATCGTTCTCCTGCTTATTTATTGGACTCCCTATCAGTATCCGACAATAAGGCTCCAATGAACACGAACTAAAAATAACTCTATACTGTATCGATCGTCGAGCAGGGTAATCAGGACAGCGCTACCCATTGCATCGAGCATGGTGGGTAGCGATAAGTGGGTTACTGCTCAGGCATCCTAACCTTTGTTTAACTGCCTTCCGTATCCAACCCTTCCCCTTTACCTCTTCTT